GGTGGGCGCATATAAACACACACACACACACACACACACACACACACACACACACACACACACACACACACACACCCCCTCAGTGTTTCTCTTTCTAACCCTTCTGAGGCTCTGAAGCCAAAACCACTGTGTGCTGATTGGCTGTCTCTGATTGGACACAGATGTGGCGGGAGATTAGTGTAATTGGCTGCTTTTCCTCGTCGGCGTGGTAATAAGGGCTTCTAACGCTTAACCCCGCCCCCACACAGAAACCCTGCCAAAGCTGGACACAGAGAGTCGCCAGCCGTCACATTTATTACAAGAAACGACAAAAACAACTGAAACTTAAGAAAACACAACCGCAGGATGTATTCATGATGATAAAACAAAATGATCAAAAATCTGGCAGGAACATATACACTTGACTGACTCAGACTAAAGTGAGAAATTCAGTCAAAAATGAAAATTGTCATCATTTGAGTAGTTGTTCCAAAACTGTACGACTTACTTTCAACTGCAGAACCACAAGCAGTGAATGTCTAAAGAATGCTCTGGCCTCTCTTTTACATTTAATACATTACTAGGAGGAAGGGCTACTGTAACAGACAACTTGACATTTCTCAATTCCCATGCATTCAAAAGCTAAAAATTATGCACATTTTGCCAGAAACTCCCTTTACTGTAATGCATCTGGACATAACTTTTTTAATATATGTATACATAGATACAATAAATGTATACAAATACAACAATAGTGCATAAATGTTTTTATATTCTTAACTGATATATTTATATATTATAATTCATATTTATTATATAAATACTAGGACCATGTGATATTTCAGTTTTTCTTTTTTAATAAATCTGCAAAAATGTCAACAATTCTGTGTTTTTCTGTCAATATGGGGTGCTGTGTGTACATTAATGAGGAAAAAAAATTAACTTAAATGATTTTAGCAAATGGCTGCAATATAACAAAGAGTGAACAATTTAAGGGGGTCTGAATACTTTCCGTACCCACTGTATGTATACACACACACACACATATATACATATAAATGGAAGCATAATTCCGCCACAGAATAAAAACAAAAAGATAATTGCGACTTTAAATCTCATTCATCTTTTTAACCCCCCATTTTTCTTGCAATTGCAAGATATAAACTAGTAATTTTAAGTTTACATCTTGCAAATCTCTTCATTTTAATCTCACAGTGTTTTTTATGTCTGCCTCGGAATAAAAAACACAAACAGTAACTGCAACTTTTTTATTTCATAATTCTGACTTTATCCTTACATTTGCGAATTTATATCTCACATATAATCTGAATTGTAAGATATAAACTAGCAAATGCAAGGAAAATGCAAAAGAAATAAGCTTCCATAATATATACTACAAGTCAAACGTTTGGAATAAATAAGAATATACAAATAATATTATCATTATTAATATATAATAAAATAATAATCATTTATATTTAAATATTTAAATAATTTACTATATATTTAAAATATATTTTTGCAATACAGTAATGAGATGTATCTTGACAGTTGAGCAATGATTAGAATCCAATCAAATACAGACGGCCAAAATCAAGTCCTTACTTTATTCCTGCTATTGTTTCACATGCCAGAAATCCTGAATTCAGAGGAGAATTAAATCTGATGAGTGTTTAGATATGGGTCAGGGGCCGGATTCACGAAAATCTTCTTTAGAAATAAGTTAAGACATTTCTTAAGATAAATTCCACGAAGTTCGTGCAATTCTTGAAAAATTCTTAAGTTCTCAAATATATTCTTAAGAACATCTTAATTTTTTTCTTAAGAAGAAAATGACAGTCATTATCTGAGTGAATACATGGCACACTGATAAACTCACACTTTGTCTTTTTGCGCTTCCTGCAGATTACCCTAATAATCTTAAGAACACACATTATTTTCGTCGCGAGTTTGACTGCCGCTCAGCTTCACGTTTTTAATGCGCCGTGTTTATGAACAGTTACTTTTAAAATAGCCTGTCTCAAGCTGCAGCGATATGTTTCATTCATTTTTGTGCTGTGTTTTGCGCTCTCATCTGAGTGAACGCTTCTGGTATGTGTGTCCACGCTGCTACAGCAAACGTGTCCTGCGCATTCATGTGCACTGAAGACTGCCAAAGATTATGTCGTATTTCTAAGCTAAAATTAAAAGCGTTCAATTAAAGCTCCCTATCTGACTCATTTTAGAGTCGCTACTGAGTTTTGAAGTCAGCAAAAAGTAGCGTCACACAGGCTAAACATGACCGATCATTATTTAGATTATCAGTCATCGCTGTCACTTCAGAAAACTCACGCACATCCCTATTAATAGTCCTACTATGTATTATATGTAGCTAGTGTTGTTGTAATGCTTAAATATAACAATTTATTTGAAATAACCCAATCAATTCATTAAATAATTCTTACTGTTTGGGATTTAAGACAAGTCTGGGGCTGTCCTAAATTTAAGCATTTATTTACGATGATTTTTAAGATGATTCTTTTCAAGAATTTGAATTCTTCTCAAGTTTTGTCTTAAGAACAATCTTAAGAAAATAAGATAAGAATATTCTTAAGATTAATTTTTGGGAATACAAAATATTCTTATTAAAATATAAGAAGAAAATGGCAGTTAAGAAGAAATTTCTTTTTAAGAATGTTTCATGAATCCGGCCCCAGATGTCCATATGTAAATGCGGCCCATATCAGATACCAAAAAGTCTCATCTTATAAGCAATTTGCAGTTTACATGCAAGAAACAGGATCTGATGTGTGCCAGATGTCTGTGGAAAACAAAAATGCATCCATCTGACGTTTGAATGCAGCCATAAAGACAACGGAAAGACTTGTGAGGGTGCAGCTGTAATTTTGGGTTTCGTCCCATCAGAATCCATCAAGTCAATGAGTTTCTAAACTTCATGAGGAACTTCCTTACGAGAGAGGCGGTTCCTCAAGCGTCCATTCATCTTCAGCGTGTGTGTGTGAGTTAGTGTGTGAGTGAGTGTGTGTGAGAGTGTGTGTGTGTGAGTGAGTGAGTGTGTGTGAGAGTGTGTGTGTGAATGAGTGTGTGTGAGAGTGTGTGTGTGAGTGAGAGAGTGTGTGTGTGTGTGTGTGTGTGTGTGTGTGTGTGTGTGTGTGAGTGTGAGTGAGTGTGTGAGTGTGTGGGTGAGGGTGTGTGAGTGTGTGAGTGTTTGAGTGAGTGTGAGAGCGTGTGTGAGAGTGTGTGAGAGTGAGTGAGAGAGTGAGTGAGTGTGTGTGAGTGTGTGAGTGAGTGGTGTGTGAGTGTGTGTGTGAGTGAGAGTGTGTGTGTGTGTGTGTGTGTGTGTGTGTGTGTGTGTGTGTGTGTGTGAGTGTGAGTGAGTGTGTGAGTGTGTGGGTGAGGGTGTGTGAGTGTGTGAGTGTTTGAGTGAGTGTGAGAGCGTGTGTGAGAGTGTGTGAGAGTGAGTGAGAGAGTGAGTGAGTGTGTGTGAGTGTGTGAGTGAGTGAGTGTGTGTGTGAGTGAGTGAATGTGTGTGAGTGAGTGAATGTGTGTGAGTGAGTGTGTGAGTGAATGTGAGTGTGTGTGAGTGAGGGTGTGTGTGAGTGAGTGAATGTGTGTGAGTGAGTGTGTGAGTGAGTGTGAGTGTGTGTGAGTGTGAGTGTGTGTGAGTGAAGGTGTGTGTGAGTGAGTGTGTGATGAATAGAATAGAATAGAATTACCATACCTCATAGCACAATTTAATTTGTCCCTTTGTAACTATAGTTATATAATGTATAATATGACATAATATAAAGATAAAACATACTTAATAAAAATATTTAATAAAGACTTTAATAAAGAAATAACATTATTAATTTATTAATGGTATTAATTACTACCATTTGTATATAAACAATACATTTGAAAAATAT